CCTGAGATTTGGAAAGCGGCTCGCCTAAAGAATCTGGGGGGAGGGAAAAAAAATTGGCAAGCAAATCCTCTCTCTCACGAAAACACTAGGGCTTTTTAGGGCTCGCCTCGGCCGGAAAATTACGGCGCGCCGAGCTAGGACGCGCTGGGCCTGGGCCTGCCTTGGAAACGGGAACGCTGGGCAGCCCGAGGTGGGAGCTGCCCTTGGCCGTGTTGCGCTGCCGAGAGCAGCCTCGGGGCACCTCCGGCTCCGTAGTACAGCCTCCCTTTTGACTTTACGAGTATCCTGACTTCCGTATCACTTGCTCTGAAACGGGATGGGGAAAAACAGGGTGGGCAGGAGGACTGGTGAGTATTCCTCAGCTAGGAACGGCCAAGAGGAGGGTAAAGCCTTAAGCCTGCCTGTGCCCAGTGTCTCCCTTTTTTGCAAAACCAAAGGGGACGTGAAAGAAGTAGCAGAAGTCCTGTTTTTTGTTAAAAGCAGAAAATGTAGTTTCTTTGATGGAAAATGACATTCTTCCCCTAGGCTATATGCCCTACCCCTGTGCAAAGGTGCGAATGACGAGCAGCCATCACTATTGGTATTTACATGTACGGTATTTCCAGACAAAGATCAGAAAGCAGGCCATTAAAGGCACAATTACATCCTCAGATGTTTAATAAAAATATATAATGATTCGAAAATATATAAAAATAGGTATGTATAGAATAAAGAAAATATACCGTTTCTGCTTGTCTGCACATGTAGGAGATATGTAACGCTTTCAGTCTTTTCTCTGTCCTAGACTCAGCCTCAAGGGACTCTCTTTGACTCTCCGTACGCGAGGGCTATCTGCCAAACGTCTTGAAAAAACTGTCCTGGAAGCTTAAATTCGCAAATGTACTGCATACTGAAAATCTTGGCACAGGTTTTAGGGCACAGCCTCATCTATTTTTTCCCCACTGACCTCTGAATATTCCATTGGTAATCATGACCGGTCCCTCTAAGAGGCAAGGAGGGAGGAGCTGATAACCTTATCCCTCCTCCTGCTTCTAGTATTACCCTCTGCTCTGTAGGTACCAGCTATCCCTTCTCAAATGCTTTTGCAGCATACTTAAGGTATACTCAGAGAAGGCATTTCTGTTTTGTTTGTGGGCTGGAATTTGCTGCCTGTGTTTCAAACCTGAAAGCAGTATTTGCTTCCTTACCCCTGCCTGACCATGACATCCATCAGCCTACTGAAAAATACCACCTCTCTTGTACAAAGTTGGCCTTATTCTCAGAACACCACAAATACAACAAAACTACTGGAAATACTTCAACAAAGAGAGTATAACACTTCCACTTGTGGTTGGACCTGAGCTTTACCCTGGCCAGTTTCTTCCGTCTCCTACTTAGCACGAGGCAGAATGAAATGCTCGTGAGGAATTTTAGGAACTCCAGAGTTAGATAACTGGTCTTACGCAGGTAGTAGCACCCCAAAGCATGAGGATTAACGAGCTCTCAACTTGCTAGCGCTGTCACTGTTACGGATAGCAAAACTGCTCAGATCACATTTTATAATTACCCCCCTTGCATTTTACTTTAAGAATGTAATATGGCAGCATGTACCTCACCACAACTCTGCAAGAGGGGAGACAAATTAAAGGATTTTTTTCTTTTTTTAAAACCTTGGTAGTCTATAAATGTCCCCCAAATCTCCTGCAGGGCAGTTAAGTCAGACCATTTTACCAGTCCAGAAGTTTTGAAATCCCCTATTGCTTTGAAATGGTTATGGCACGTATGAAGTCTTGTCTATGGACAGGATAAACGTGTGTGCGCACATATCCGATACACATTCGAGGAATAAACTGCTTTGGTGCTCTAAATGTGCTGCTCGCAAGCAGTGCAAGTGCATCTCCCAGGCTCCACCAGATGCCAGGCAACAGGACCTCGTCCCTGGCCGTGGGAGAGAAGCACGGTCACAGGAGCTGCTGATGCAGAGAACTTTCTTCTTTCCGCAGCCCAGTCAAGTCCACCGCCACCTCAGTGTTATGGAGGGATAGCAAAGGAGCTGCTGCCACTTCCTGGCTATGAAACAGTCTGAAAGCTCCTTGTCTTTCCTCTGGGATATGCCAGCTCTTAGTGATAGTGAACACTTTGGCATATGTCTCATGGGATCAGGGAAGGTTGACTCTCCTTGCCAGGACTTCAGCGAAGAACATCAGAGAAGCTGGCCTTGCCTTTAGCTCGGCTGCCAGAATGAACCTTAGCTTTCTGCCACTATGCCCGCAGCATTTGATAGATCTGCTACTTTGTTCTGAATTACTTTTTGGGAATATGCAGAGGTTCTTCCTTTCTCTGGCCAGTCCCCAGCTTTCTACTCCTGGCTTGGCAGCTCTGGACACAAAGGAGAAAGCCTGGCCTAGTTAGTACGAGATGCTCACTGATACCTTGATGGCAGGGCACGGAGGAAGATAAATGTAAACATGAAACCTTATTCAGCCCATCTGATACATTAAATGAAGCAGGGGCCCTAGGGAGAGAAAATAGAGAAAAGAGTATGTGATGATGTAATTAAAGGCTGTATCATAATGAATATGCACAGAAGGGTTGAATTAAGGTTGTACTGGCAACCCAGCTTCTGATATTTCCTAACTTTTAAGCAATACCCTGCAACCTTTACAACATTTCTTTCATGTTTTGGCAGAGACTATGTCTCACTATTGGTTT